CAAGAAGGGCGGTCATAAGGAGACGCCTCCTGCTGTCGCCGGAGATGCCGGAATTCAAGGCGCAGGCTTCAAGGTTGTGCCCACCCGCAAGAAGGCGGGAAAGAAGAGCAACTAGGAGCTGCCACCCGCTGCCGCTGGTGACGCTGGAATGAAAGGCACCCGCAAGAAAGCGGGAGCGAAGAACAATTAGGAAATATTGTGGGAAGCCCGCGGCGGAAGATGGCCTGGGACTCCCTGATTAGGCGATGCTTGTCGATTATGTCTAGACGGCGAAGTTGTGGCTCAGGATTACTGTTATTGGTTCACAGCGTCATGTAAGCGCTCTATTGCAGCGATAAGTAGCATGTCAGAAAGCATTGTTGTCAGAGCGTGTACAATCTTGAAACGTGATGCCACTTTTGACTGTCGTGCAGTATCATGAGGTGAGCCGCGAACAGTAAGCCCCTGAAGTACGAGAAGTCGTAGGTGAGGTACCTTAGGGTAAGGTGGAGATGGTTTCGGTGAGATGCAAGGTGAGTGGCTTATGTAAGGCGGTAGGTGAAAATTTGCCCCGCCCCCACCATGGAAATTTCGATTTCACAGGGCATCGAAACACGCCGAATTCACCGTCTGAGTCACTTGTTCTTCAACCAAGACGAGCATTATCGCCAGTGATATTCTAGACAAATTTCAACTGAGAGAGAACCGAATTCTTTTGTCTCTGGATACTTTCCATGTGGGATAGGGGCGTCATCGAGTATTTCTTTTGGCGAAACTACCCCGCGACGCGCGGGGCAGAAAAGAAAAGGTTACTTATCGCGACCCAGAACCCCTCGATATCACAAGCGAGGCGCAACCATTGATTCCAGATTCGAACACATTATCTGAGCCATGGCGAACGCACAAACAAACGGCACTCAGGCTACGGCCTCGCTGCTTTCTCGCTTCACAGACGGCGCCTACATCGATGTCTTGACGTCTTCAGTGGCCAAGGATCTCATCACCAGGTTCACCAACAGTCTACAAGCTCAGACCGCCGAAGAGAATGCCAACCCCACAGCAACGTCAAAAGAGTCACTATCCGAAGATGAGATCGCTATAGGTCTTGCGGCCCTCAACGCATTTTTGCAGTCAAACGTCACGGGACCGGTGCTTGAGCACGCTCACAAGGTAGAGGCACTCTTCTGTGAGGTCTTCTCGGCAGGCAGCGACGGAAAGGCATCAGCAGCAGACATCCTCAAGGTGTTGCGCAAAAACAGTCTCAGAGCCCTCGAAGTTGATGGTGTCTCACCATATCCTTACATCCCGCACATTGAGCTCTTTGCGCTCGCCCGCTTTGTCTTCCACGAAGTTTCCTTGGCCAGCGACGCCGTCATCAAGCTCTCTTCTTCCCACCCATCCCGCCTGAGTCTGCCCTGGACCCGTTTGCGCGTCAACGTGTGGCACTTCAAGCTCCTCAGCCAGCCGTCCCTCGGCCCCGGCGCCAACTTTGCAAAGGCGTCGCAGTGGATCGACGTCCCGACGCTGGCGGAGCAGATTAACCTCGGCATCGAGACTGTCAGGAAGCAAATCCTTGACGAGGATGTGTGGTCGACGGGCGAGGAGGTCTGGTCGCGCGAGGACAAGGTGCAGTTCTTGCTTGAGGTGTCGAACACGCACATCATGCTCGGCCGCGATGACCGGGCGCGTGAGGCGTTGGAGGAGGCGACCAAGCTGAACAAGTTTGCGTATGCGCTCTCTGGTGCGCTGGGAAAGAGGACAAAGTTCCAGGAGAAGAGCACCAGTCAGCTTGTTGTTCTTGCAAAGAGCGATGCGACGGGCGAGGGTGCGGGAACAGCAGCAGACGGCGAGGAGGAGGCCAAGCCTGAGGCTGTTGCCCTCAACGATGATACCCTGCTTGAAGAGATTCAGTTCTCCAAGGAGGCAAGCGGCAAGCACGGAGAACTCGCTGCCACGTCTTCAGGGCTTCCCGCGGCGTTGGCGGATTTGTCTCCTGAGGCGCAGCCGCAACTGTCGCCCCTCGATCAGATTATTCTCCTCACTGAAGCAACTCTCAAGGACACCTTTTCTCCTGTCGACACTTTGACGTCGGAGGAGGTCCTCCCGTATGCCGTGCGCGTGGTCTCGGACAAGGCGACAAACTGGCAAATCTACTCACAAGCGCTCCTTGTCCGCTCCCGCATCGAAGTCCACCGCAGCAGAACAGTCGAGAGAGGTGTGCTGCAAATGCAAGCCGTCGTAGACCAAGTCGTCGTCGACACCTCGGAACCCACCCGCCCCAAAGCCGAAGATGTCGCCAACGACGAACCCGCCGACGTCCCCGCCATCGCCGTCTCCGCCCCAGGCGAGCCCGAGATCGACACCGCCGCCGCGGCACCCGTCGACGCGGAGAAGCCCACGTCTTTCTTCCCCGCCGCCAAAGAAACGGATACCGCGCCCGCCCACATCCGGTTGCAGTACATCCACGCGCTCTCCTCCCCTCCCAAATGGCACCTCGAATCCGAACTAGCCTACTCCTGGGCCGGCGTCGGCTCCCTCGTCTCCGCCCTCGAAATCTTCAAGCGCCTGCGCCTCTGGGCCGAAGTCGCGCTCTGCCTCGCCAGCAGCGCCTCCAACGATGACGACTCGGGCCGCGGCAACGGCGGCGAGGAGAAGGCTAAGGCGCTCGTGCGCTGGCGGCTGTTCCATCGCACGGGACAGCCTCTCGTCGAGAACGCGGATGCTGATGCGGAGGACCTTGACGCGCGGGATGTGACGTACCTCAACCCTGCCGACTTCACCGGCCCCGAACGGTGTCCGCCGCCGCCGAACGCGCCGAGGTTGTTTTGTATCCTTGGTGACTTGGAGAACGAGCCGGCGCACTGGGAGCGGGCGTGGCAGATTTCGAACCGGCGGTTCGCGCGCGCGCAAAAGTCGTTGGGCGAGTGGTACCTTGCGCAAAAGGAGTGGACCAAGGCGCAGGACGCATATAAGCTTGCAACACAGTGTAACCGGTTGAGTCCCGAAATGTGGAGCCGGTTGGGCGATATCAGTCTCCGGCTGGGACAGTTCCCGGATGCCGCGGAGGCGTATAGTCGGGCGATTGGCGCCGCTGGGGACGTCGTTGGCGGCGAAGACGCCAGGACGTGGAGTAACCTAGGCAGTTCGCTTTGGAGCATGTATCTCGAGGCCGTGGAGGAGGTGAAGAAGCAGATTATCGAGGAGAAGAAGAATGGCACAGCGGAAACAAAGGCGGAAACTGAAGAAGCAGAGGAAGAAGACGACGAGGAGCCGACGAAGCGGGAGAGCAAGGCCAAAGACCCGGCCACACTGCTATCCCAGTCTCTGGCCGCCTACAAGCGCGGCGCCTCGATCGCGCAGGATAACTGGCGCATCTGGGACAACGTCCTCACCCTCGCCTCGCGGATGCGTCCGCCCGCCGTGTCGGAGATGGTGCAGGCTCTCCGCGCCATCATCCGCATTCGCAACACCGAGGACGCGCTCGACGACGATGTCCTCCGCGCGCTGCTTCAGGAGAGCGTGCTCACCAAGGAGAAGGAGAATGACGAGAACAAAACCGGGGTATACGCCCCGCCACGGGGTACTATTGAAAAGGCCGTCATTGCGCTTTTTGAAGAGAGCGTCGTGCCGCTCATCACGACGCGCTCGGAGCTGTGGGAGCTTATTGTTCGAGAGCGGGTGTGGAGACGGGATTACGCCGGCGCCGTGGATGCTGCGGAGAAGGCTTGGAGGGCGGCGATGGGGGCCGGTGCGGGAGGTGGGTTGAAGGCTTCTTCGGCGGGGTCGGGGGGTGCCGGGGACGATTTGAGCCGGAATTGGCTTGCGGATAAGGGGGCGTGGAAGGTTGTTGTTGCGAGGACGGATGAGCTTGTTAGTGTGTTGGAGAACTTTGGCGGGGAGGTTGGGAGTGTGGGCAGCCGGTGGAGGGGCAAGGCGAGGAATGCGGTTCGGAGTGTGATGAGTAGAGGACGGGAGGCGTGGGAGGGGACGGAGGAGTGGGTGTTGTTGGAGGGGATGATGGAGGGGTTGAAGTTGTGATGCTTGAGGCCGTGATGACGATGGATGGCGCGTTGACATGTTTATCGACGGTACCTTAGATGTATGAGGTTACTCGAGCACATGAATGAAAGTCAAACGCCATGATGGTGATCAACTTCGAACCGTCCCGGAACGGCTCGCCAACCGCAATCGTGATGGGTTGGGTGAGTTTTGGGGTCTATGGATGAGTATACGTTGGAGGAAGCACTATCCATCACTAACTTATGAAATCCATACGGATCTTCGAAACAGGTCCTTCGTCCATTGAAGAGTGAGATAGTCTCATCATGAGCATCCACCAAAGTTTACTCTGCAAAACCAGCACAGCATGAGCGAATTCAAGAGCACGCCCACCCAGGTCCATGCAACATCATCGATAGTCTTGATGTCTTCGGATGCCACCCAGGGCAAAAACTTCCCAAACTTGCAGGTAATTCAAAGGCTTGTTTGGTCCACTACGCGATATCTCGTATCGGTGAATCTTTTCACAGCATCCTCTCATCTCATCGCCCAAAACTCACCATAAGTTCAGATGAGCGTTCACTGATGCAGAAAAGTCTGGATACTTGGGATATGAGTCATCCATCAATGCGCCACTTCCTGATTGTCTCCTGATCGTTTGGAATGATTTTTCATGAGATCAGCTCCTCGAACTGCATTGCTACGCGAATAATCCTTCAAGAATTGAGAGGTCTCGACCGCCGTGCTGCCTAAAGTCTGGCCCAGGTGAACGGGCCCGGTTCAGGGGTGACCCGGAAAAGCGGGGATGATGGGACCGGGGAAATCAGGCAGACTACCCCGGCTGAGCGGCACGGTGCTCGGTAGCGTTTGTTAGTGGCAGTTCTGCCTGGAATTCATCCTCATCCCCGTCCGATGCTAGGTGAATTGGGTTCAGTCTTTAAGTTTATCCTTGATGTTGTATGAAATTTATGTGTATTTACTGGATATAAAGGTCTGAGGGAATGTTCATTAGAAATTCATGTCTGGAGTTTCATTAGTGTCAACTAGATTATCATCGCTCATCTCCATCATCAACTTGCTTGTTCACCAGGATATGTATATTCTCTACGATAAGAAGAATACTCCAGAAGATATTTCATATATTCAAATGCCTCCCGTCTCAGCTCAAGAAACCACCACCATGTCTCTCAGATTCAACAACTTCACCGACGGTGAGACGGTTCACCAGGTACGTGATGAGCGCATCCTGCCACTAATAGTACATTACATGAACGAGACTCTTTTAACATCATTCTCAACCAGCGCTGTGTAATCATCAAGGGAACATACACGGCCAGCTCCAACACCAGCGATGACTTCGCAACAGTAGAAGCCAACGACGGCACCAACACAACCTTCCCGACCCAAACCTGGCCCATCGCAGACAACAGGATCAAAATCATCGCCCTCCTCTCCCCGGGCCTCAACAAACTCACCATCACCCGCACATCCGGCACCCAAAACATCACCGAGGAGCTGAACCTGACATACATCCCCCTTCTCCAATCACCCCCCCTCCACCTCGCCATCATGGTCGCAAAGGATTCCCCCCTCCTCATCGACTGTCCGCCTCTGAAGCACGGCGCCTTCTCCACAGCGCATTCCTCCCTTGACGCCGCCATCGCCAAGCTTCGCATGTCTGCGTACATGTGGCAAGCTCTCACCGCAGAGGACATGCGAACCAAGGGTCTCGGCCGACGCTCTTTCAGGCTTGAGGAAGAATGGGCCGTCGATACGACAAGTCGCGAATTTCTGAATGGGCTGCACGAGGCTGCTCTCTTTGACAGCGGCGCCATGCGCTCTACTGCCAAGGTTCATGTCGTTCGATCGGAGAGAACTACGGCGGAGATTCGTGACGCGGAGGTTGCGCAGCAGAATGAAGACGCAAGGTCAAGAGATGGGTTGTTTGACTACTTTTTGGAGGCGCTTGCGGCTCAGGGTTCTCCTTTTGAAGCTTCGGCGCATCCGGTTGTCGCGGGTATGATTCTTGATTCGCACTTTTCTGTGAGCAAGAAGCTTATTCTAGGTCACGCCGCACTGGGATGCCACAACTCGACTGGTGTGTCCCTCGGCATGATGGGTAGTCACCTGGCGTACTCATGGCCCCGATTCCTCGAAGAAGTCTCAGACTGTCTCCTCGATACTCGCGCCCCGGGGAACACAGTCGGCGACGACAACGGAGAGTGCGGGACGTTCTGGGAGGCTTGTTCGATCGGGCAGGGCGCGTTCTTGCATGAAGTCGGACATGCTTTTGGGGCTCCGCATACGACTGGTATCATGGCGCGCGGGTACTCGGGTCACTGGCCTCGGAACTTTCTGGTTAAGACTGCGTACTCCCAGAGCATCAACAAGGAGGGTTTGGTTGTCGTTGATGGTCAGACGGAGAACGATGCTAGGTGGGATCTACGGGATGCCCTGTCCTTCCGGTCTCTCAACCACTTCTGGCTGCCCGGCGATACCAGACTATCGGCGGCGCAGCGATCAAGTGCCCCGACTGTCTCTCTCATCAATATCGAGACCGAAGATGTCGGGGTGGAGATTGCCTGCGCCGCTAACCTCGCCCGCATGGAGTTCAACGACAAGCCCGAACTTCTTCCACCCATGGATTGCCCGGCCCGGAAGGTCTCCTACACCCTCAAGGAACTCGAAGCCCGCTTCTCCCGCGACGAGAGCCTGAAGCTCTACGTGCTCGGCATGAACGGTAAGACAAAGACAATGCGCGATCTCTGGCGCCTCTTCTCATCTACCACGTACATCCGTATTCCCGGGTCAGAAGTCCTCCTACGCAAGCGATCCGTCGTGACTAAGGATATTGAGGAGTCAATCGATGACGGCGAGGGTGAAAAGTTCTGGTCGTGGGCGACGCTTCTTACTCGGCGTAAGAGTGATGGGTCTGTTGTGCGTGCTAAGTCGGTTGATGTGCGGACTGGATGTATCCTCGACGGCGCGTATGTGCATTTCCCCGGCGGCGATCGTGTCAACTGTGGTCCGCGGATCAGGAAGTGGGGTGGTGGTGAACACACGTTTGGGGGACATGCTTCTGAGGAGGTTCAGATCCCCAAGGGTGCCGAGATTGTTAAGATTGAGGTGTCTAGGGAGGAGGATACCCTTCGCGGTATGAGGATTCATCTGAGTGATGGCTCGTCTGGTGGTGCTTTGACAGGATACGGGGATGTCCCCGAGACCTCGACTCTTGGTAAGTGATCTGATACCCGATTTGCCCCATGAAACTACTGACTCGATGTGGCAAAACAGAAGCGCAAGCAGACGAGCGTATTGTCGGGTTCTATGGACGTAGCTGGTGGGGTAGCAACTTTGACGGCTTGGTTGAGTTTGGTATTATCACTGCGCCCAAGGACTTTGAGCTGCCGGCGGTTGTGTACGGAATGAAGGAGCTTCAAAACAAGGAAGGGGGACTCGGGGTATGAATACTCTGCCACTGCGTGAGCTCGTTGGACATAGGCAACTAACGTCTTTTAGGGTGAAGCCGATTTTGAGAGTGGGGATGAGGAGATGAACGACGAGGAGTAGATGGCCACGGCTTGCGGTTGTTAAGACGGAACCAGCTTTGGATTTCCGTACTGATGTTATATCAAGGATTGAGATAGTTCAAAAGTGTTTCTTTATTGTTCGCGTGAAAGGCTCAGTCACGGCTTACCCTTGCTGTTATCTCTACCCTTGACACGATCTGCTTAACTCGGCGAGGACCCCGCCGACGTAGCTAAGAGCAGTATCTCTTCTTCAACCATTTTTAATGGATCATATGTGCTCGCTTCTTTCCTAAGCTCCTCTGCTCGCCTCTTAAACTTGTCATCACCCAGAACCTCTGTCACTGCCTGCTCAACGGCGCTCACGGATGGAGGAGACTCCGATAGAAACACCCCCAAGTCAGACCACTCAATTCTTCTCCCGATATCTGGCTTGTCAAACGTGTTTCCCGCTTGCACCATCGGCACACCATTTGAGACCGCATGTTGAAACCCTCCGTACCCGCTGTTTGACACAAAGACGTCCGCGTGCGCCAAGATCGCGTCGTACGGGAAGTAATCCACCACCCGAGCATTTACTGGCAATTCTCCGTTCCCAAAAGTGCTCGTGTTGAGAGTTGCTCCGGCCACGCAAAGACAAGCAACGACTAGGATGTCATGACAGGTAGCCAAGGCCTTCATTGTCGGGATGATGAGTTCTTCGTGGTCCAGCACTTCAGTTCCTTGGGCCACAAAGACAATTTTCTTGCGACTGGGTTTCGATACCTGGAGAGATGAGCTGTTTGAGAGGATATCGTTGAACCACCTCGGATATGTAAGGTCAGATGGAATAGGTTTGATCGGGAGCGTCCCCGCGAACTTGATCTTCCGTGGCCAGTCTGATGAAAGGAATTCAAGACTCGGGAGACACATTTGCAGGACTGTGTCGTGACAGACCGTCGATGCGTCCCAGAAGGGATGTTCTATACTCGTTGATAGCCCTTCATAAAGGGACACAACGGGCTTGGGACATCCCATCAACCCCAATACCCATCTCGCACGATCCTCAGCGGCGCTGTTCCACGTCTCTTTGTGTACTCTGACATTCTTTGCCCGCCCTTCCTCACTGTCGTCGAAAGGAAGGCCAGATCCCCACGGTGGCCGCTCAGGGCTGGTCCAGAACACTGGAACGACACCAATCCCGATAGTCTTAATCACCTCATCCTCTTCAAACAGTTCAGGCAGGTCTGTGCCCAACTTCAAAGCCAGCGTCCCGGAGAAGCACGTATCCGACAGGACGAAGATCTGACAGCCGGGCTCTCGTCGTCTCATACCCGCCAACGCCACCCGTACTGATTCCAGTCCGCTTGGTAGCAACGAGATGAATCCCCCATCGAGAGATGCGGCAAGTCTAGTGGCTGGATCCGATGCCTGTGCGATGTCTGGCCAGCGAGATGGATCGTCGAGGGTTTTCCAGAGTCCGATGATGGGACTAAAGTGGGCTCCGATCGCTTCGATTGTCGGCTTCCACCGTTTTGTTCCCAGGACCGTGACGTCGAAGCCGCTGCTGATGAGATGTTTGGTGATTTGGAGCGCTGGTCGCATGTGTCCCTCGCGTGGGGGCACAGCGTAAAGAATCCAAGGTTTTGTCTTTTGTTGGACTAGCATTGTGTCTGGTGAGATGTCATCAGCTACTAGAAAAGAACGAAAGGCTTCGATATTTCTGGCCTCTTGGCAAGTCGTCGTTGAGATGAAGTGTTCGGACGGGGGAGTTATCCAGCTCTCGTTATCAGAGCTAACTCAATTAGCTGATGGATCCGGGGTCCTAAATTGCTGCCAGATAAGCAAGTGCCGTACGAATGAGGAACCCTGAGGTTGAAGATCAAAGCTTGTCTAGATGGACACGAGTCAGTCTAGGATTGAGCCCCAGAACCACCTTCAGCCATATTTGGACCCAGGTAGGTTCAACTTTTGAGGATTTTTGACAGCGTCAAAGCCATATCGGCTGCCCTGTTCCATGATATGGGGTCATGGAAATTGATGTCAGTCATCTCATCTACTGCTTTTGTGTACTTAGTACGTATATGACATCTCAACTCCATTGAATTCCAGCGACATGGGATTTCTTTTTGATCTTACCCTAAGAATCGCTGGGCTCACTGCATGGGGCCCCCTTGACTGCTTTCATTTATTTTGAGTTTGAAGACCACACATGTATGGGGAAGGTCGAATTGAAATACATGTTGATGGTCGCCTGACTCGGGGACCGCGATAAGTGATAGCTGTATCAGTATCAGGTCATCAGTTGAACCCAAGTCTCAGCTACGTCTACGTACACAGCATTCTGGAGCACATGGATTTTGAGAGGCAGGGCGAGAAAACTATCTAGAATACTAACGGGAAGTCGAGAAGAGTAGTTGGTCCGGCTTTGTAACCAATACTATTTTACAGTAAATTTAGGCATATATTGGATGATCACCGTGAATTCTTCCAGAAATCCAGAGCTGGGAGGTTTTGTGTCGTCAATACCTTTAATTATAGCCTTGTAGAATGTGCAACCCAGTGTGCAAGAAAATTTCTCGTGTCAATCTCAAGAAACATAAATGCTAAGCACTTGCGATCGAGACTAGAGTGGCTAGGTGAACCAATGAGATACTGTAGCGCTTCAGTCTCAGATGGTCGGCTGTATTGTCTAATGGCTGTTGGCTGCCTTCATGCAGGTCGAGCATTCACGCCAATTGAAGTTTGTTGTCAAGCGCCCAGCTGCCTAACGTAAGGCTTCCATCAGGCAATGACAAATTGAGGGGTAATGCAAGACTTACTCATGAACCTTACGAGGGACTCTTGTGTCGATGGGGTTTGCTGGCCCAGCAGCTTTGATCAACTCGAGAGTTTTCTCTCCACTACCAACACTTGTCACTTGATCTTTTCCAGTCATCAGGCGTGACCTATCAACACGGGACTTCGTGTCTGGCCATCAGAAGGTCTGGGAAGCTCTCACGAAGATTCCATCTGCAATGTCAGCCAACGAGTCGAAGCGTCGCTCTGAACCTAGACCACTGGATAAGACTACGGCTTTCAATTATCAGCCTTTGGAAGAAATGATCGAGTGCACGAGATTCTTGAGTATCCACCCTGCGAAGGATGACAGCGACCCTATCATAAGTTGCGCCTTGAATCACATTGCATTCGGGGAAAAGCCAAGCTACGAAGCTTTGTCATACAGATGGGGCGAGGAGGCTTCTGTGCACACAATTATACTCAATGGTCATACATTCCTCGTGAGGAAGAATCTTTACGATGCTCTTCTCTACCTTCGGAGTAGAGGCAATTGTGGTCTCCTGTGGGTTGACGCGATCTGCATTGACCAAGAGAATGTGCAGGAGCGCAACAGGCAGGTTGCCATTATGAGACATATTTACTTCAGAGCACAAACAGTCGTTGTTTGGTTGGGAAGTAGTTATTCACAATTTCAAGAGGAAATGGGCCCTCTTGAAGCTCGCTTTGCTTCAGAAGAGAGCACGATGGATGAAAGCCCGACCACTGCAACGGAATTCGGCGACCCCGACGACGGACACGCGGCAAGTTTAGAATGCGAGCGCGAAATGGTGCTTCGCTTGGCGAAAGACGAGTACTGGAACCGAGTCTGGATCATTCAGGAGATAGGACAAGCAAGGCAGAGGCGAGTCTGCTTCGGGAACATGGAGTTGAGTTGGGGCAACTTCATCAGGATGATGACCCACCACAGCGTCACGACTGAAGGGCCTCTTCGGTTGAACCAGCAGGTCGAACAAAAATACCAGGGCTCTCATACTTTGAGACGTCTTCTTTACGATCACCAGAAGTCTCGATGCCAAGACCCAAAAGATAAGATCTTTGGGCTGATTGGTTTGGCAGTGGATGGCCGTGGCTACCCCAGCCCAGACTATGACAAGTCACTGCTTCAAATTTGGACCGAAACGATGGAGTTCATGAACAGCAGAAGAATGTTCGATGATAAGAATGAACTTGATATTGTATCCCACGCAACTTTGATCAAATTCCTTCTCATGGGAACACGAAGTACACCGATTCAACAAATCCTGGGACCCTATGTTGCTGAACCTGAGAAACAACTTATTTCACTCCAACATGGATACATCCACCCCCACGCATTCAAATTGACTGGATATTTACTTGGAATTATTCGATCTCTAGGTCCTTCAGTGAAAGACGTGGCTGGCAATCTGGGTCAAGTCGATGAGTGGTCCCATGGGGTCCAAACCAACTACGGAGACGATCTTGGAAATGCCTGCAGGCAGAGCGACGATCTTATAGGGGCCATCTTGGACAAAGAGAACGCGGGCATTGGGCAGATGTGCTTTAACCAGTCTAGTCTTGTCACCTGGGAAGATCAGATAGATTCTAATTATTCTTTGACGGACTTGCTAAATTGGATTGATCGAAACAAGCATGCATTGGGGTCTATTGAAAGCACCCCGAACCACTCCGACCATTCATCACATACTACAACCACGGACTCTACAGATGCAGAAACTCTCCTGTACTAGCTTTGGACCGGTCGTCACTTCGACCAGAGTCCTGAGTGGAAAATGGGGGTCGTTTCAAGCCGAGCAGCATTGGGAGACATTATATGCTGGGTTGGAGGCACCAAGACGGCCTTGGTCGTGAGGCCAACAGGGAGGCGAAAGGAATATAGATCGACTGAATACGCGAAATTTCAAGTAATCGGTACAGCCGTCATTGCCGAAGACATTGCGGACTCAACGATTGATCATTATCGGAGACTGAATATTCAGGGTGTGGGTGGCCTGGGCCACTATCAACAGGAAGCAAAACTGAGAGGAAAATTGTCTTTAATGTTGGACGCTCGTACCCTCTACGTAATTCTACTTGGAACTCAGCATTGAGCTGGTCGCAAACTTTTTTCATTAATGATTTCCTTCTCTTTCCTACCATGATCCAGTTGTTGTTTATCATACTCAAATTGATGCATAAGATCAGTACCTTCTCTTGGATGATTATTGAATGAAGAGTAAATTGGCATGCTTTTTTTCTAATCCCTTAAGAGAGACTTTCAATTACAGATTTCAGAAAGGTGCTCAGATCTATTTGTGATTTTGGTGGGTTTGCGTCAATCTGAAATTGATTAAAATAGGTACCGAAGGCTTTGTCTCATGCAGCCTAGACCCAAGCTGACCAGGGTGACGATGTAGGATTCCGACTGCTGGGCCTCGGAGCCGAGTGTCAGTCGGTCATCGACGTAAGACTGGCTTTACAGGTATAAATACTCGAAGATCCTTCTGCCAAAATACCACCCTGCTATGCTAGACAGTCGTTGATCTCGTCCAAAAGTTTTAACCCTGGAGCACATTATGCTCATTTGAATCCATATGGATAACAAAGAGCACGTTGATCTCGACGACATGGGGACACATAATGTGAGTGGAGGCGACCATTTCAAGACTGCCACCACGGTACCAACAGTAGCTTCAGATGAGGCTGTGCAGGGTAGACTGCAACGATTGTACCAGGATCATGGGGTAAAGGCTCAATTTATCACATCATTTGCGGCGGCAATCGCTCACACATTCTGTTCACGAATAGGCAACTTGGGAAAGTCTAGATGACCCCCATGATCCCTACAACTGGCCGACGTACCGCAAGGTCACAATTGCGGTACTGATTTCAACTGGGCAGTTGATCACTCTCATGTCAACTAGCATGATGGCATCCGCTCTACCACAAATACCTCGAGATCTTGGTATCAGTGCTACCACCACACAAATCACCTTCTCGCTGTTCGTCTTGGGCCAAGCATTTGCCCCTTTCCTGATCGCAGCTTTGTCTGAGATGTATGGGAGAAAGCCTGTCTGGATTGGTTCGTGTTGCTTCTATCAGCTTTGGAATGCACTCTGTCCCGTCGGAAAAAGTGCGCCGTTGATGATTGCCGGACGGTTTCTGTCCGGTTGCGGAGCCAGTGCTGGTGTAGTGGTATTTGAACCCCGGATACATTCTCACTAATTTCTCTATAGGTACGAACTGACGACGGTTGATAGTTGACAGGTCCCATCATGGCTGACATGTACCGGGTCAAAGACCGTGGTAAATCTCTTGCAATAGCATCGTTCATCCCATACTTTGGCCCTGCGCTCGGCCCCATCATCGGCGGGCTTGTGTCGGATTATATTGAATGGCCGTGGCTATTCTGGATATTGTCCATGTTCTCAGCAGGGATTACATTCATCGCATACTTTTTGGTTGACGAGACCTACACGCCGATCTTGCTTCAGCGCAAAGTTGAAAGCCAGTCCTCGAGCGGCCGCAATCGCTCCGGTCCGCCGTGGAACGGACTTGCCCAAAGGGGGCTTTCCAAGGGACTATCAATCCATCTTCTGAGACCGATAAAAATTCTGACCCGCCGACCGATCATCCTAGTGATATCATGGATATGGGCAATTAGCTTCGGTCTCTATGTTCTCGTTCTCTCGTCATTTGCCAGCCTGTGGATGGACAAATACGGCCAATCAGAAACCCAGAGTACGCTCAACTACATTGCTCTAGCGATTGGCATCACAATTTCTTCGCAGGCTGGAGGTCCACTCATGGATTACATTTTCCGACGTCTCCAAGATAGATCCAAGGGCGATACAACCCCGGAGTTTCGAGTGCCCTACCTCATCGTTGGTGTTGTTCTCCTCCCCGTTGGTTTGTTCTGGTATGGATGGGCGGCAGAGAGGGGCATGCATTGGGCATTCGTGGCTGTCGGCGCCGCCATCTTTACATGCGGAACGTTTGTCACGGGGTCTGCGATAAACGCTTACCTGATTGACGAGTTCAAACATGCTGCATCGGCAAGCGCAGCAGCACGTATGCTGTCAAACGTATTTGGTTTCGCTTTCCCCATCTTCGCTCCGCAACTTTTCAGTAGGCTCGGATACGGCTGGGGCAATAGTCTGCTAGCATTCGTATTCATAGGAGTTGGTTTGCCATGCCCTATCATTCTTTGGCTCTGGGGCGCGAAGATACGGGCTCTAGGACGAGGAGCTCAAGATTGAGTGCTTTTAGATATTGCAGATATCATCAAGGTCAATAACAGAGGATGAAGGTCAAAGATAGTTGGAGTCGCAGGAACAGTACACATATGGTTTGCAAAATACTTTGAGTTTCATCATACCCCCAGTCATTAGATCCCCGATTAATCTAAATTCACAACGAACACCCGAGCTTGAAGCAGTGGAATAGACCAAGAACAATTACTACGGCCGCCTGGAAACGGCCACCTTCCTAGCTAGACCTGAAGTCAACCGTGAACCCAATGTTGTAAGAAACGCAACCCATATGTAGAGCCCGTTGGAAGAAGTGAATAAGCAAGCCCCTCGATTCGAAGAGCCAGTAATGAGAAGAAGAGTCTTTTGATCACCGAATTCTCTTACAACAGGAAGACGACTCCAGCAACCGCGCCGAGAGCCATGCCGACGAAGCCGAACGGAACAGCAGATCTGCTGGAACCGGCGACGGTAACAACAGGGGGCTTGGCGCCTCCTGTGGGAACACCACCGCCGGGTGCCGTGGGGTTGACGGAAGGCTGGCCTGCGGGAGGGTTGGCAGGGGGCTGACCGGCAGGGGGCTGACCGGCAGGGGGCTGAGCAGAGTTGACGGGAGGCGAGACCGGCATGGAAGGGTTCAAAGGAGGCTGGCCAGCCGGAGGCGTAACAGCAGGGCCGGAAGGAGGGGCCCCTGAAGGAGGCACACCAACAGGGGGCATAGCAGAGTTGGAAGGAGGTTGTCCGACAGGAGGCTGAACAGACGGGTTCAAGGGAGGCTGTCCGGCAGGAGCAGTAGCCGTAGGCACAGCCGGGGGGTTTGCCGGAGGGCTTGCGGGAGGCATGGCCGGAGCGGTGCCGGTGGGGTACGGGAGAGTGCTCGGCGGCTGGGGCTTGGGGCAGTCACCGTTGCAAGGAGTGACGACCTTGCACTTGTCGTCGGTGCACTCGTACTTCTTGTTGACGTCGGTGTACGGGCAGGTCTCGTGCTCGCACATGTCGCCTGTGCAGACGTACTTCTTGTAGCATTCCTCTCCCGAGCAGGTCTCGATCTTGCAAGCATTGCCGTAGCAGGTGATCTTCTCCTTGATGCACTCGTCTCCCTGGCACTGAGAGTATCCGCAGAGTCCGCTCTTGCAGATAATCTTGCGGCCGCAGTCGTATCCGCTGCAGGTCTCCGGGTGGCAAAGTCCGTCCACGCACACAAGGCGGCGGCGGCACTCATCACCGTAGCAGGGGTAGTCGAAGCTGACATAGTCACCGTAGCAGACGAGCTTCTTGTAGCAGTCATCGCCGTAGCAGGGCTGGCCGAAGCACTGTCCGTTGCTGCAGGGGTTGGGCACGGGAGTCTCAGTAGGGCAGTAGGTGGTTGTGACGGTGGTGACGCCGGTGGTGAGGGATCCGATGGCACAAGTTGAGACTCCAGGAGGGCAAGAAGTGACGGTTCCAGTCGTCGTCGTTGTGAAAGAAGTAGTAACAGTCGCAGACGCGGTGGTTCCACCGGCAAGTCCGAGACGGATGTAGATGGTGAAGCGAACGTTGAGGCCAATAAGTTGACGTCTGGTCAGTCCGACCTGCCCACCACAGCGCTCGGCGCTGTTTCCACCGCAGGGAATGTTGCATTGGTCATCAGGAACGGAAACCTCATTGACAGAGTCGACAGTTGAGCCACAGAAGCAATCATTGGCGAAGAGACCGACGTACTTGCTGGACGGGCAAGCAGCAACGCAGCGCTCGATGGTCATGGATGCAGCAGATTGAGTGAGAACAAAGGTCGGGAAGCTTGAAGGAGAGCTGAAGCAGCCCAAGTAGCTCGCATCACCGACAGTCAGGGGGTTGACAGACGCGCTGGAAGACGCAGCAGCACTGGAAGTGGAAGTGGAGCTGGAAGTAATCTGAGTGTCAATGGTGGACGTGGTGGGAACGCTGGTGACGCCCTCCGAAGTAGAGCTGATGGTTGTGACAAAGGTGCTGCCATCGCTGGTGAAGCTTGACGTGGACACGAATGTGGATGTGAAAGAAGAAGGGACGCTGGTGGTGATGACGGAAGAGGTGCCTGATCCGATGCTCGTGGTAACCGAAGGGACACTGGTGACGCCCGAGGTGACGCTTGAGAGAGTAGTCACGAAGGTGCTGCTACCGCTGACGAAGCTAGAGGTAGAGATGACAGTCGAGGTGAAGGAAGAGGCGACGCTGGTGGTGCCAACAGAGGTCGTAGCAGAACCAACGCTGGTAGAGACGGAGGGCACGCTGGTGACTCCAGTGGTGGCGGAGGAGACAGTGGAAGCACCTGTACTACCTGCGCCAGTTGAGGACGAGGTGGCTACGGCCACAGTTGAGGTGATGCTGGAGGCAACAGAGCTGACTGTTGTAGACGGGAAGATAGTCGTAACACCTCCTCCAAGAAGGGTTGAGACAAGGCCGGCGGGGTTGACAACGAGGGTTCCGACGGGGAGAGCAACGGTGACACCATTAGCACCGACGCCAACGGTGGCAAGACCGCCAACCCCGACGCCGACTCCGGCAGTTCCGGCTCCGACGGTGATCGGGATGCCGCCAGCACCGACAGAGGCTACGACACCTCCTGAGTTGACACCAGCAGTGACAGTGGCACCAGCGACACCAACAGAGGCGGCGATCGTGGATCCAACGCCAGCACCAACGGTGGCAACACCGCCGAGACCGAGGCTGACACTGACAGTGTTGCCGACATTGGCACCGACACCTACGCCTGCAATCGTTGTGGTAAGACCGACGTTGACGGGAAGAGTGGGGATCGGGAGCCCGAGAACCTGAGCCGCAGATCCCTGGGCCAGGAGGGCAACGGCGGCGATAGAGCGGAGCGCCATTGCGAAGAGAGTGACAAGAGTGATTACTAAAGAGTGACTAGACCTCTGGCGGTTAGCGAGAGAAATGAGGTCAAACTGAAAGAATGAATGTGGCCCAAAGGCAATGAAAGAATGTCGTGATTATCGTGGTGATGGGAGTGAGAAGGGAATTCTCTGAGGAGGCAATGTTGCCTTCTTTTTATCTCGGATTTCGTTTGCCATCGTGTTGACATCGTCTGAAAATAGAAGACCGAGAATGCTCTGCGAAGCTTTGCGATGCCATAGTCGCCCCTGAGAAACGGAACCACCTCGAAGAATGCAGCAATATCCTCTCCATGCCTCATCTGAGTCTAGCAGTGGGCGATGCGTCGCCTCTGTCCTGCTGCCTGAGGGTCTCCTTGTGAACATTAGCTCCCTATCATCATGATCTAGCCCTACCTCTCCTTACACAAGGCTAAGTAGGATGGTTGAAAAGGAAAGTCGTTCGCTTGGCTCGGACTATGCCGGTTGGCACTAAGAGACCTTAGGATCCAGTCGCGTGAAGAGAGGCGATGTATGTTATTGTTGCACGAAGGATTCAGAATGGAGTGCGATGTTTCTCGGAAACGAACCTTAACCACCTCAATGCCCTTGAACAAGGCGTAAAGTACTAGAGATACTACTTTCTCAACGGCACATCCAAATTCGGATGGAGTCTGCAACAAATTCAACTTCACAAAGACCCGTCATGTTCAGCCAGATGTTCATTCTCAAAAGAGCGTTTGCCGCGTCACGGTCTGACATATCCAGCAATATGTCGACGCGGCCTCGGGCCGTAGGACTGGAAAATTGCTGTTAATCGCGGTCTGGAACACACCACGCCCTCCGCACTTGTGCCGTTTTCCTGGGTAAGACATTGTCTTACTCGGATAGGCCACCTTGAGCCCCGTGAGGAAAGGGTTGCCGTGGTATTGCCGGATGATGTCGGCAATATGGGCGCCGTAATGTCTAAGATTTTCCGGCATTTGCGGGTGTGGAATGCAAAAACTCCTCAGGGGGCCCTGGGAGTCAATCTTGTGCCGGCCCCGTGGTATTTCAAAACAATCCCTTGGCAGAGCGTTCTACAAACATTCCAGGTGGCCTCGGACCGAACACTACATACGCATCCCTACCGTATTGAAGTCTTGTTTTTCGAACGTGTTACAGCGTGCCTCCTGGGGCGCCAACAAAAGCCTTGCCGGGCCACGCCGGCTATTCAGCTGGGGGTTTTGAGAGACAGGTCTCGTCATTGATTGCCGCAAGACTGTCTTTGGCGCTTCCCCATTCGACGACACCATCCCAGGGGTAAGTTCGTGGCGTGATTGACCCTGGGACGGTAGTACGGTGGCTGAGGGGGCGTCCACTGAGGCAGACTGGAAATAGACATATCTCAAAGCTTAGCACAGCTTCAACTAGTCGGATGGACTGTGTGACGGTGTCTGGACACACCAATCAAGTCGCGCCCTAAGATCGCGTAACCAGGTCCTAGGCAAAGAATGAGATGAGATAGGTAGTACAGCGCGAGTCATCTATTGTCATTCTACCTCCTTGGTTGGCCAAGCATCATCACGATAGTGCCAGCCTGATCGAGCTGGGGGAAGTTGATGATGTATTCCTCTCCCCAGGAGTGAAAGATAACTTTGGGCTGACTCCCCTCGGACACCCGAGCTTCGCTACCACTCACTAGATTGATATAACGACACGACATCAAGTAACCCAAGTGTGAGCAAAATAGATCGAAGAGATCAACCCCACTGAAGTAGATTTTTTTTCGTACGGATATCTGTACAGAGACTGTAACGCCCCTGACTTGGGTTTGATTAAGGGAGGCGAGGGGAAAGGCCCATATGCCTCAGTGACAGTCTCTGTTTGGTCTCATTAACATTTCCCTCTCCCCACACTGACGGAGTTGACTTTACCATTTCATGGTCCCCCTACTACGTATATCCTTGTCGATAGATGCCCTCCTGAGCAGCATGTAGATCTCAGTATCTCGCAAATTCTTTGCTAATGCGGGTGTTCCATAGATTCTCAATACGGCATCCAAATGTCCTCCTGGCTTGCAATCTATCCTTCAGCTATTAGGTGAGCTTATCAGAAAACTGTCCTGCTTGATCTTGATCACGGTCGTCCCACGCTCCGATTTCTTTACAGCCTTTCTTGTTACATGTCGAGCCACACTCTAGCTTCTTGGACTGAAGGTAAAGAGTCTAGATCATAATTCATTTGCTGGCCCACACTCAACGTAACTGACCCGCGTACGACTTTTGGTAAGAACCCCGGATAGGATCTGTACAGCCGAGCCATGTGTCCTTGCTGCACTCAAACGCATTTAACTACTGCCTGCATTCACTTTGACCCCGTTGCGGTATCACTATGGTTCTTGGGAAGCCTTGGGTGCGAGTGCCGGCATCGGCTTATTGGAGTTTCCCCTGACTACTGGCATACAAGGCTGAGTACTGCGGATAGTGACCGTACTCAGTAAGATAAGGGCATTGGCAAAAATCCGATTCACGATAGTATTAATTCATATCTCTTGAACCACATGGTCACATCTCTTGAATTACATGGTCGCGACAAGTCATCCCGTTTCAAGGATGCAAAAGTTTTGAAACGGGCGATAATGCAGGCCAACGAGTCTAGGGTGGTGGCTATCCGCAAAAAGGAAAGCGTCCGCGGGACCCATGCGCAGACAGGGATCAAATTCGATCCCAATAATTAAAGGGGTTTGCGGTTGGCGTTTAGGCAAGCTTACTCCTCGCTTCTCAAAGATTCTGGATTCTTTCAGACCGAACCGAACGGATAGCCGCCGAAAATTATCGTGTGAAAAGGGGGATGACCTACCCAACTGGATGGTCTATGCCTCCAAGTCGCATTATCCCCACTTCTTAACAGACAAGCATCCCCCTAGCAATTACACCCACGACTCCAAACTACTTCTCTGTGCCGATTGTCCGGCCCCGAAGTTCGGGAAAGTCATCCTATTTCACTATGCCCTCACCGAGCGGCCCATATTGATTGTCGGTGGCCCATCCTAGGATATTGTGGCCCGGAATTGTATGAAAATTTATCGATGACGCGACGTAATTTTTTCTGCCCAGTCGCCAGAGCGAGTTTTCATACTGAGTATATCTTAGCCGACGTCGCTTAGACCAGCGTTCGGATGCTTCGAAGCGCCCACATACCGACTTACCTGGAAGCCAGATACCGCTTACCTAAGGCAGAAAACACGAGCCCCGAATGAACATGACCCATCTGCAAATCCTTTTCCGCCGGCTGTCGGGTTCGGTAAACTGGGTTCACAGGTGAAGGTCCAGAATACGAAGGAAAATCTTGACTCTGCCTGTGGGAGGGTGTCATCGAAGTCACGTTCGCCAGTTTCTCAAATTACATCTCCAACGTTATCTGAGGGCGCCGAGCTCATCAACATAGGCTGCGTAGTGTCAAATCCAGACGCGCGCCAGGTTGTTTGTATGCCTGATACAGCCAGTGATCAATTCACAATTAAAGATTTAGGGATCTAGCCTCAGTGATGTTGATCTTAGGAGCAACTGGGGAATAGCAGACATTCTAATCCCGACGGGTCTGCTGCTCACCGGATGACTTGAGATCTCCGGTGGGTGGACCACGTTGTAAATGTGAGCCTCTCCTATGCCATCCCTGCTGATAGGAGCCAAGGATTAGGGTTGCTGATAAGGTTGCCAACTTCTCGGGTAGAGGACTTTTAGTGAAAAAATAGTCGTACAGACACAACGCTTTCAAAACTTCCAAGCGTGGGATACCGATCTAGATAAACAATAAGCTTGATATTTGGGTGTACGTATGCGACCAACTGGAGCAGTCGAAGTCATAGATCGTGGTGAAAAATAGGAGAGCCCCCGGCTATTCCTGCTGAGAGTCTACGAGTGGGCTGATCTCCCGGACTGTTCCCATCGTCGCATCGGACGAAAAAGCGGATAACAATGGAATAACACAGACGCTAGTGATGTTGGATGTGGTCCATATCCAATCAACATTTAGAAACTAATCCATCGCAGGCATCGTGCGGCTCTGCCAAGTTAATTCACTTTGGACAAAACGGGATGCCCCACGAACGTGGTTCCCTTTTCGGCTGCATGCCGCTGCCAAAGGCGATGGCGTGAAACTTGGTCGGAAATTTAGAAGGGGCTTAATTACGTCGGGTATCCCTTTCTGGACGACGAGGCACAGCAATGGGGCATGGTACAAGTCTTGAGAGCTGAGAATACTTTATAAGAAGTTGGAAAGACTTTCGTCTCATGATGGCTTTTTGTTCGGTCATTCTCTTGCTCTTCAACGTTTCGTTCCTTGTCGCATTCCCTCCTTACTTCTCTACCTTTTACTCACTTTTTTAACTTCTTCGTTCGTTTTACAGACACAGGATGTCTTCCCTTCTTTTCGCTACCGGTCTCCTCGCCGGCCTGGCCCAGGCTTACACCCAGGTCAACGTTGCCTCCCCTTTCATGACCAAGAACATCGATCCCATTGTCTACCCCGGCCAGTACGACAAGTCTCACTTGCACTCCTTCTTCGGCTCCGACGCCGTCACCATCAACACCAAGACCAGCGCCGAGCTCCAAAAGGGATGCACCAACGCCGAGAACCCCAACGACTTGTCAGTCTACTGGATCCCCACGCCGCTCTACACCACCGATGGCGGCAAGACCTACGAGCCCATGCCTCTGTCGCGCTTCAGCGCCTACTACAACCTTGGCGAGACTGAGGCAGAGGTCGCTATCCCCCAAAACCTCCAGATGGTTGCCGGCAAGGCCACCGCCACAAACGAGGGCGACATGATCGCCGACGCCCAGTCCTCGTGGGCCTGCGAGAACGGCGGCGGCGGCAGCACCGATGCCAACGGTTTCCCCTCCTCCACCTGCGGCACCCACCTCCAGCAGCTCCTCTACTTCCCCCAGTGCGTCAACACCGAGACCCTCGAGACCGCCTACAAGACCAAGCGCGGTGGCAGCTGCCCCTCCGGCATGAAGTCTATGCCTCAGCTCCGCTTCTCCATCCGCTACGACCTCCGCAAGGTTCTGCCCAACGGCTGGAGCGGCACCGCGCCCTTCAAGCTCGCCTGCGGCCCTGCCTGGTGCTCCCACGGCGACTTCATC